GCTCAATTAAATCAGCCATGGTGTGTTTCTGATTGATGGAAATGACACACTCACGATATACTCGCTCAACTAGAATAGACTCCCTAACAAGTGCAGAAACACAAAAGGGTTCACAGAGTTTCTCAGGAATAACATCAAACTTATATGCAACATAAGGGTTACAAAAGATAAACTTGCTCCTGGGTCTAGCAAAGCATAAACATCAAAAGTAAAGACTTTGATCATACCAGTGACGACATCTGGATAGTTCTCTTGCTCTTGGCGACTAGTGATCGCATAAAGGCAATTTGTTCCTCCGCCAGTACCAGATGTAGCTCCTCTAGGTGCAGCCCTGTCTAGTGGAGTAACTGATGAAGATTGGACTCTATTGCCCTGATTCCCACTACGTTGCCTATTCTTAGGGGACTATTTCATGAAGTGACCCTCTTGCCCACACTTGAAATAACTTGACTGCCATCACAACACTTACTTAGGTGGGTCCTACCACAACTAGCACATGTAGGAGCCCAGTTACTTCCTTGTGCCACACTACCTTGAGATTGTCCGGGTCTAGCTCTGATGTTTTGTGAATTCTAACTATTATACTCACCTTTGTTTCTGGGTGCAGGTGCACTAGCAGATGATGAAGCAGGTCCGTTTTGCTTTTGCTGAAAGGATGAATGGTTCACATTGCTTTTCTACTGCCCGGACTCATTCCTTGTCTGAGCCTTTTTGTTTCTAAACTCCTCCCTATCCCTCAGTTTCTCTTTCTCAACCTGCTGCACATAACTCACCAACCTTGATATATCCATGTCCCCAATTAGCATAGCTGCCCTGCCCTCGTTGCTTGACAGGCGGGACAACCTAACAACAAAAAGACTCATTCTATTCCTCATATCCACAACCATCTCCGGAGCATAACGAGATAATTGGGTGAATATCAACCCATACTCATGAACACTTAGTGACTCTTGCTTTAGGGTAAGAAATTCTCGTAACTTAGCCTCTTCCAGTTCTCGGGGGAATAAACTCCCCTAGAAGGCCTCCTCAAAACAAGCCCAACTCGGAGGTGGTACATCCTCAACTCAGTTCTTCTTTTATTGATCGAACTAAGGCCTAGCAATATCCTTCAATTGATATGTAGCTAGTTCTACTCACTCAGCATCGGCAACATACATAACATCAAATACCCTCTTCAGCTCCTCAATGAAGTTCTCTGGATCCTCGGTAGTGCTCAAACCAGTGAAGCTTGGAAGGTTCATCCTCAAGAACTCATGAAGCCTCGAAGTGTCAGCCTCTTCTTGTCGAGCTCCTCTTTGTTGCCCAACCTGGTTAGTCACAGCTTGACATAACATCCTTATTGCTTCTCTGAACTCAACATTAGTAATTTCCCCTTGAGGTTGCACTTCAGGTTCATTGGGTACACCTTGCTCTTCAACATTACGCCTAGCAGGACGACCTCTGACAGCTCTTCGTGGAGGCATGATTATCTGAAAATACATGCAAGCACGAATTAGAATAAAACTTTTTAGAGATCAACTCTAACGCACGAAATGAGTAAGAAAGAAGTGAGAAATTTTCCTAAGTGTCGCAGCCTCCTAATTGTAGATGTGACGAGCTTCATACCAATAACTTGGACTCTACAGATATGGCTTCATAAACTCCTTAGAACTCTTGAACTCTGTGCTCTGATACCAAGTTTGTCACACCCCAAGCTTACACCCCAGACGTGGCTAGCACTCGAGAACCATTGGTGGCCCCAAGTGAACTCTCGGCCTGGCTTGCTTACTCAGCGGAATACATAAAAGCATAAATACAAGGATTCAATGCATCTCTACTCAACTGTTAAATAAAATAACTTAGAATGTTTAAAAGTCAACATTAAACTTGGCCAAAATGGCAACTCAAGTCTTAACATATGAAAAGACAACTGAACTACTAACTATCTATGAAGCCTCTAAAAGAAAGACAGAAGTCGGGATAGGACCCCCGATCATCCTAACAACTGAAAGCTAAACAATTTTGAAAGAGGCCGTCCGAAAAGTAAGGAGGCTCACCAACTGACTCTGAGTGCTTAACCTGATCAACGAGGCGCTGGATGCTGATCCTGGTTACCTGCGTATGTATCATAAGACGATGCAGGCCAACTGGCATTAGTACATTAAATGTACGAGTATGAGAGTTGGAATGCTATACACAATTTAAGCTTAAAAAGGATCTGAAAGGAACACTTACCTTGGCTTTACTCAACTCCTGAATAACTTAACTCAATATAATGCAATAAAACGCATGCAATAGACAGAAAATTTTTAAAAAAGTAGAAAGCAACTCAGTTTGTTAAAGAAAATGCAATAACAAACTCAACTTTACTCATATAATAAAGTAACATAATTTCTGTGGGAGTTTCTCTAACCGACAACCACCACTATGAGCCTAAGTGGTGATACAACATCTTGCCCACGCTGCTAGAATTGTCCTATACTTTGCCGTCATATAAAACGCCTTAACTAAATGGATCCACTAGTCTATGCTAAAAAGCATCTTAAGGAGTCATCTAAAAAGTATGATGCTTTACTACCTATGATGGCTACATGGTATATGGAGACTTGAGTTAATATGAACTCGCATCCCCATATCAGTGCTCAATACTACTCCCAAAATATACTTAGCTCATATGTTTTAAAACAAACTTCTTTCTTTAGTTTGAGATAATTACTCAAAACTTAGCTTAAAAGCTCTCTTGGAATCGATGTTCCCTTTTTTACTCAAATGTGAAAACATTTTAAAACTCTTCGGGAATACGTAGTCCCCATATACTTCTTTGAATAAATGAACTTCAATCTTTACTCTTTACTCTTTACTCAACTTGAACTTTAAGTCTTTAAACAAAGTTAAAGTGTTTATAAAAGACTTTTGAAAACTTTATAAACTTCTCTTAACTTGACTCTTAACTTTACTTGACTTGACTCTTAACTTTCCTTGAATTGAATTATGGATTCAAGGATTGAGATTTGTGATAGGAAAGATATGATGATGTTTAGGAGTGTTTTTAGATGGTTAAGCATGAGAAAAGATCAAGAAAGCACTGTCTGGAAACAAGTCCGCGACGTGGAGATGCATTTAAATATTTGATCGTGAAATTTAGTATTGAGACAGAGGAGTTCGCGTCCCAACCGCGACGCGGAGCTGATTTTTGTTCACTGGGGGAGCAAGTCCGCGACGCGGACTTATGTACCAAAACCTGCTCGACTTTTTCCTTCTTCGTTTTCCAGCCCCAATTAGCCTAAACTCGACTATCTTTCTCAACCCTTTTTAGATTCAGTTACCCAGCATATGTACCCAAGAACCTAACTCAAAAAAACTCTAAAACTCGACGTAAAGATCTCAGAAATTTCTCAATTCAGCCCAATTCAAGAACGGAAACAATTTCAAGATATACATATCAAGAACATCAAACTTTCAACCTTTTCAGAACGAATTTCGCTGAACTAAACATGTTTGGCGCATGGGTGAACGAACCCAACGCTATGAGAGTCTCACATACCTTGTAGGATTGAATCCTTGGCGAATTCCACAACCAAAATCGCAAGAACTTGATGAATCTTGAGCTTCTCTTCTCCTTTCTCCTCTTTTCTCTTCTCTCAAAGCCCTAGCGTATTTCTTAATTACGTAAAATGAACTAACTCAGTTTAGACCCCAAGTAATTTACTAAAAACTAATTTAATAAATTGGGTAAGGAAAAGATTAAACTACCTTTTCAAAATCCGGTTTAGACTTACCTTAATTGAACAGCCCAACTTCAAATGGGCATATCTTACTCATACGAACTCAGAATCACGAAACTAGGTGGCGTTGGAAAGATTATTCCAATATCTTTCCTATGATATCTGGAAATATGCCTAACTCATCTTGAGCTAGGATTTATGGTCGTTTTAAGTTGACCAAAACTCAACCATAACTTAACTTAAACAAATTTCCAGATTTTCATTATTTCCTAAAATCACTATTTCCAATTCTTGACTTCTTCCTAGTTATTTCAATTTGCGAGATGTTATAAATGAAACTTTTTGGAACAGTTCTAATTATCAATAATCAGTTTTTCATCAATTATTCTTTAGTTATTTTGATACTCTTTTGTTGAGATGTACGTCAAAATTTAATAATATTACTAGCATTCTTATTTGTTTGATAAATTATCAAATACTATTTTAGTTACTTGTTTAATATATATTTGTGATATTTTTATACTTATATTAGTTGAAGTGGGTTCATGTACTTCTTTTATATGAAAATAAGTAATGACTAGTTAATTAATCTAGAGACTATCCCAACTATTTACTTTTATCTTCATGCATTACATTATGAGGATACTTTAATAACTTTTCTAAATTAGTTAAGACAAGAATGAGAGTTCACCAAAGAAGACATCTAATATATTGTAGGTTTTGTTTTATCTCCTTAATTTCTATAATTGAAATAAGAAAATATTAATATGTTGTTCAAATCGATAAACACAATTTAAAAACTCCATAGAAAAGTACTGTAATTCATAATAATTAACAACTCAAAACATTTTAAAAGTATTTTGAAAAGATTATGATCAGAAAAAATATTCCTTGAATGTCCAAGTTAGTAGTAACTAAGAAAAACAACGTATTTAATCCTATCTTCATGTATGTAAGGAAAACATTATAAAAATCAAAGATTTTCTTCTCTCCTTAATTTTCATTGTTGATAACTATACATTCCAAATGTTCCCTCACTCACTCACCTTTTCTTGCTTATTCTGCAGATTAATAGAACCACCTTGTGTTTTATTATTAAATTGGCTACCAAACTATGCAATCTGCTTGATGTTCATATCTCCAAGAAATTGTTGTTGATGTCACGGTAGTTCCTTCGACACTACTTGGGTGTACATGCAGTGGCGGACCCAGGATTTTCACGAAGTGGGTTCAAGATATAAAAATAAATAAGCAAAAATGCAAACAAAACAAATTTTGATTAATTAAAATATACCATTACAATTCTATTCTACGAGTTTTCATTTCTTGAAACCTATTCATAATACTCTCATCAGAAATAGTATTAAATATTCTTTTCTCTACATAAGGCACCATACAACTACTCAGAAAATCATCATCCATTCGATTTCGCAATTCACTCTTGATCAACTTCATTGCCGAGAAAGCTCTTTCAATTGTAGCAGTAGCAACCGGCAAGAGCAACGCAAATTTTATAAGGCGAAACACAAGAGGATAGTTTAAATGCTTCTTTACCTTAACTAGCATTTCAGAAAGATCGCCAAGCCCTTTTAAGTTGGAGAACCTTTTATCAACATCACGGACATCAACTATATAAGTCTCTAGCTGATTCCTAAGAGTAACCATTACATTTTCACCAAAATCATCAGGATATAATTCAGCCATTCTCAATATGTTCTTGATGTCAAAACTAGAAAATGAGTCAACTGGATTCAAGCAAACAACTCCAACAAGCAAATTTGTTCTAACCTCATTAAAACGATCATTGAGTTCTTGAAGCTGCCAATCAATAATCTTAAAAAATACTTCCACACGATAGTGATGTGAAATAGTATACTCAGCAACTTTACGTCGAGATCTTCCAAAATTAACATAGAACTCATCAAAATTAGGTATCAAAATATCATACTTGACACAAACTGCGGACACATTCTCGACAAGTGAATCCCATCCTTCATTCCTTAAATCTTGCAATCGTTTCTTCACCACTTTAACAAGTAGAATGGCATTTGCAATATCTTGTTCTTTCTTTTGTAAAGACTCATTAAGCTCATTTGTGATCGCTAAAATATCTCTCATTAAATGCAATATGAAAGCAATCTCAAATGTTTGACAAACTTTAAGATATCCGGTTGCCTTAGCTTTTTCTTCAACAGATTCAGAATCAACAACAATAGTATCAAGAACATCAGTAATAATTGCCTTAGCTTTTTCTTCAACAAATTCAGAATCAACAACAATAGTATCAAGAACATCAGTAATAGAGCCAAACATACTAATGAAGTTCTTAAAAGATTTGTAATGTGAACCCCACCGAGTATTGGCAGCTCTAGCAAGACCAAGTTCTTGATTCAATCCCTTACCACTTTCAACCTCACCCATATCAAGTGCCACTTGAACTTTTTTGCTTGAGATTCTCGAAGTTCATCCATACGTTTAAAAGAACCTCCCACTACATTTAAATCATTAGAAACCAACAATACAAGTTCTCCAACTTGAAGGCATTTTTTAGATACCCCAACAAGAGTTAACTGAAGTTGGTGAGCAAAACAATGAATTGCATGAGCTGATTTACTTTCTTGTTGAATCAAAACTTTAAGGCCACTTAAACGCCCTTGCATATTGCTAGCTCCATCATAGCATTGCCCTCGTATAAAAGATAAACTCAAAGAATGTTGCGCAAGATAGTTAACAATAGCTTCTTTCAAACATAAAGCACTAGTATCATGAACATGAATAATTCCTATGAACCGTTCCACCACAGACCCCTTTCTATCAACATAACGCAAAACAATTGCCATTTGCTCCTTACGTGATATATCACAAGATTCATCAACTAACAATGAAAAATAGTCACCGTTTAGATCCTCCATAATAGCTTTAATTGTTTCAAGCTTACATGCAGTGACTATATCTTTTTGAATTTTATGAGAAGTCATCTGGTCATTTTTTGGAGCCTTTTTCAACACAAGTTCACCAATTTTATCACACCGCTTCGCATACCATGAAAGAATTTCAAGAAAGTTACCTTTGTTTAGCGATGATTCATCTTCACGATGTCCACGAAATGCCAATCCTTGATTCAAGAGAAGTCTCGCCACTTCAATTGAAGCCTTTAAGCGAATTTTGTGCTCAAGCTTGGTTTGATTTGATAGCTTAACAAATGCGGCTTGAATTGATTGTTCTTGTCGCATTAGATCTTCACACTTCTTCTTTGCCTGATTGTGAACACTGTTTGACTTACCAATATGCGTATCTAATCTTTTCTTTTTGTGCCAACTCCTGAACCCTATACTTGAAAATGTTTCACCTCCACCTTGATGAATGCTTTCATCTTGAAATAAATAACAACACAAACAATAAGCTGCATCTTCAGTCACACTATACTCCAACCAATCATGATATTTTTTAA